AACCGCAATCATATGCACAACTCCATCGTTGCAGCCTGGGAATCATACTGTTTCAGTGCTGTGTGACGGCACTTGGATCTCCAGCAGCTACACTCAGATTCAAATATTGCATTCTGATATTGTAATGAGCCTCATCCCAAGCATAGGTTTTGTCAGCGGTGGCACTCGTGTATACCTTCAAACCAGCCACCCTGTGAGATCCGAGGCCTTTAGCCATTGTGTTTTTGGTGACGCTAGTGTGGTACAAGTCCAAAAGAATGCACAAGATCAATATTTCTGTGTTACTCCAGCACACAAGCAAGGTAGTGTCGAAGTTCGAGTTGTGCAGAAGGACTCATCGTCATATGGAGGTCGTCAACCAGGCCCTTCCCTTTCGTTCTTGTACGTCGATGAGCCGGAGGTCACTGGAATCTACCCTAGTCTTATCAAATCTGGTAAACAGACGCTGATCTCCATAACTGGGCGCAATCTGCTTATGCCAGAGGCCTTTTGCAGCTTTGGCAACACAGGAAGCACTCGGGGGCGTGCCATGACGAGCACTCTACTTACCTGCATGGCACCGCCAATGCCACCAGGCCGATCATATTTACAAATCTCACCCAATCAAGTGGACGTTTTTGAAACTTCGGTCATAGTGAGCTGGCGAGATCTCATTGTATATTCCATCCGTCCTTCTGTAGTTCGTAACGGAGAAGGGACTCGTGTCGTAGTAGCGGGGCAGTTCCATGAATGCAAAGAGCTTTATTGTAGGTTTGGTTCCGAGCAGAAATCAGCTGCTGTGTATTCCTCGGCAACCGCAATCATATGCACAACTCCATCGTTGCAGCCTGGGAATCATACTGTTTCAGTGCTGTGTGACGGCACTTGGATCTCCAGCAGCTACACTCAGATTCAAATATTGCATTCTGATATTGTAATGAGCCTCATCCCAAGCATAGGTTTTGTCAGCGGTGGCACTCGTGTACACCTTCAAACCAGCCACCCTGTGAGATCCGAGGCCTTTAGCCATTGTGTTTTTGGTGACGCTAGTGTGGTACAAGTCCAAAAGAATGCACAAGATCAATATTTCTGTGTTACTCCAGCACACAAGCAAGGTAGTGTCGAAGTTCGAGTTGTGCAGAAGGACTCATCGTCATATGGAGGTCGTCAACCAGGCCCTTCCCTTTCGTTCTTGTACGTCGATGA